GATGCAAATTCGTGCCGGAACGTATTTGGTAAGCACATGACTTATCGAACAGGAAGAAAACTATTACAGATGATCGGATAGTCCTGCTTATGGTGAATTAAAGCGTGTTTTTCCTCAAGTTAAATAAATACCACGAAGTAATCAATCCATGTTTGATTTCATGAATAATATTATTCTTTTTCTTGCAAATAAGAATTGATTGAAGGATCCAATCAAAAATAATTTTGTGGGTTACATCTGAGGGACTGAAGAGAAAGCGACAAGTCAAAAAATCCCTTCACTTCCTGAAATGTCATGAGAAATCAAATGCATCATCTATTAAACCATTAATAATCGCAAATTATTCAATTATTCGAGTTCATTTCCTTGTAATCAGTCAGAATGAAACTTTCGCTGTGAATTTTAAATGAATCAAATTTCAATAATATCATTAAAAATGCCAAGAAAAGCTATTTGAAAACGATTCGATATCTCAGTCATTTCAAAAAACCTCCATTGAACTTCGTCATTTCCTCGAGAATGATTAGGAAAGGAGTAGATCAACAAAAAGCTTTTCATTAAAAACGATTTAAAACATACCAATGAGATTCCCTTTAATAATTATTTTCTTTGCTCAAAAATTGGCGCATAAGTTGATAGGCTTCCTGAGCTGCAATTAGAAATGTAAAATGTTTCGTAACCAAAGTTTACTCTGAGGCTAATTTATTAATATTGATCATATTAATATTAATTATATGAACAATATAATTAGGTCAAATCCACCGACTAAAACTTTAAACTGTTGGATGGATTGATACAAATAAATTAGCTAACTTATTAATATCAAAACTCAGACATTTGATCAAACAATCAAACTCTTCTCACTTATCGCACTTTTCATACTTGATTATTCATATGACCTGACTTTTTGTTTTTTGATGAGCTACACAAATTACAGAATTTCAGTTTTTCATAACAATTGTAAAAATAATTTTAGTGATAGCGTTATGAGTCGTTTTTTGATAAGAACATAATATTTCCTTTCCTTTTAAATATTTGCTCATTAGTCGGTATAGAAATAAATCCTGCATAAATCTGAAAAAAACAAAAGTTTAAAACTGCGATGTTTCAAATTTAATTTCCACAAATCTGGAAATATGAAGTGACAGTCGTGAATTAGGAAATATTGCAGATGGGTCAGTTATGATCGAACGGTTGCATTCTCATTTCCTAGGAGAATTCTCAATGTCATTAGTCAAACGGTCATTTTATTCATTTAACTTTGCTCTAATCTTCTTCCGAAGTACTCCTTGTACTGTTGTTTCTGCCTTCCAATGAAATCCAATTCTTAAATTTTCTGATTGTTAGAAGTAAATCAATAATAGAATTTCTTTAAAAAAGGGAATTTCAAAAATGAAACGAATCTTCTGGTTCATAATGCCAACGTTTTTTTTTTCATTATTAAGCTATTTGAAACGATTGAAAAATTTTCTTAACTTTGAAGGTTATATTCTTTTCGGAATCATTCCAGTCGACCACCGCATTTCTCCATATTTCCACGTAACTCTTCACGTAAGAAAATAGGTGGTTGTTCCTCTGTAGACTAAATAAATTGTTCCTCACTTAACCGAAATCAGCAACTGTAATATCTGTGGTATCAATAGAGTTAACATTTTCAAATGTAACTGAAGTTGGTTAAGTGAAGTTCAAATGTAACTTGAAATATTGTTGTTGCCATTCAAGTGCACTGAACAGTTCGGATAACATGATGGCAGAGGACATGGTGGCGCAGTTGGAGAGAAAATTATCTAAGGGTTCATTTCGTAAAGCATGATTATGACATTTGTAAGGTGATGTGGGATTCTCTATGATGCAGGATGTGTGCGAGAGGAAGAATTTGAAAAAGATTTCGAACAATTAAAAGGCTTCAAAGCAATATAAGCAAGAGAAACCGCAAGATTATAAATATCAGAAAAGCCTAAACCCTTTATTACTCACGCAGCTTCGATCGCTACACTCATGTCACAATTGTGGGATCGCCTGAGATCCTTCCAACACTTCGTCTCTTCATCTTCATGATCGGAATATTAACTGCAACATTCTTTGTATATTTCATAGTGCAATCTTAACCATTCAACTCTTCGATAAATAATCGATAACTGATACTTATTTTCATTTTGGGTGATGTTTCCCATCTTACAATATTTGGATTTTTCTATTTCTGGACACTTTTTTCTTTCATGTCATCTTCCGACGTTTCCTCCTTAATTTCATTTCTTTATATCTCTTTGACATCTTCCACCTTTCTAACTGTGTAACCAGATGCTAACTTCAGAAGTTAGCTTCCGATCACCTGTAAATCATTCACCGGCATAATGTTTCACTCGGATTTTTTTTATTTAAAATAGCAAGATTAAATAATATATAGTTGTTATATTAAAAAACTAAATATTAAGTTAATCTTGGAAGGAGATCCTCCATCAATACTCTAACAAAGCTATCATTCTCCATACCTTAGACTGCACTTCCATCGTTTCAAACGTTGATGGTAATCATAACATATGATGGATCACATTGTCAACGCTGTTACTCTTAATCTGCCTACGAGCAAATTAATACTTAAGTTTTTTAGCAATTAATATTTAAGTCGGACAAATAGTTAAAATGAATAAGTCAATTAAACCAGCAGCAAGTGGTGGTTAACCTTAGTTTCATTAAAAGAACAAGCAAATGGAAAGGAAGCGATGAAAGACAGAAATAAAGGTGAAATATTGGATGAAAGTGCAAGATTGTCTAGAAAATTTGCATAATCAAAGTTAACTAATTTACTTTTTTCTCTGGTTAAATAGTTAACCTTGACTTATTCATTGTCTCTGAGTCTGGAAATTTCATTCAATTATTTGAAGGCTTTCATTTCCTCCCAATAATTTCTTCCTATCTTCTTTGAATATGTTAACGTTTAAGCATTCTAACCTGATAGGAAATGATTGGTACATTTCCCATTGCTTTAATCGTCTCTTCCCTTATCATCTGATTTTTCTTCCATATTGTCTTCTCTCGACTTTTCGTCACCCTGTTTGTGCTGAGTAAACAGCGTTCCATTGGCTTTTGTACTTCCCTTCTTGCATGAGTCATCCCCGAAATATCAGCTATTTCAGAAACTTTTCTGCCATGGATTATATCGACCGGAAACGGATAACGAGTAAGAATATGCCTGATTTCTGATTTTGGCGCATTCAGTTATTAAGTATTGCATAATATCAAGAAAAAAAAATCAGAAGAGTAACCTAAAAGTGGTTTGTTCGCATTTTTATTTCATCTGTCACCAATATAAGGTAAAGATAAATAACAGTTCAGCCTGCTTACTATACATATAATCTATTTCTTTCCGGATTCTCTTCCTTCATCTTATTTAACTGATTAGCGTTTAGCTGAATATCCGAAATTTGAACTTTGTTGTCAGATTTTGCTTTCTTCCGTAAAGTAATTGCCGATATTTCAACGAACCTGTCGCAGGTTATGCTCACTATTATTCATTCTTTTATTTCTCGAACGGCATTGGATATATACTTATCAGGTTTCCAGTGTACCATTAAAATATATTTATCATTTATGATAAAGACTATTTGATTATAATTTTCATTTATCACTGCAAGATAGGCCTTTTAAATAACGAAGTAAAACTAGCAGTGATAATGTTTTTGGGAGAGGACTTACTATCCAATTTACCATATTTTTTTTGATTTTTTACAAGAACACGTAGCGCATAATCTTTCCTAAAAAGTTTTTTTTTCTTTACGAAAAAAATTCAAAGACTGTCTTTGGCAATTTGTTAATTGTCGCTAAATACTTATTAAATAATGATCTTCCATGGTACTTATCAGAGAGATCATCAGTGGGATGAAAACATCTAAAACAAATTCAAAAAACGAAAAATCCATAGAATTCACCGTGTTGTTTCAGGAAAACATAAGGGAAATAATTGCCAGCAAAAAAGGCCTAAAGTTGTTAATGAAGATTTACTCTATAAACAGTTCATTTTAATGATGTGAAGATATCCGAGTCTCAGGTACTCACTCTATGTAATAACCTCCTCACTGTAATATTTCTTCGTTGGCTGCTAAATTCGATAAACTTTATTACATCAATAGGAAAATACTTAGCTTCCTAAATTTGCATCCTTTATTTTTGCTGTCATCGACTGATATGAACATTTTTAACTTCCTAATTGACCGATGACAAAATAGCAAGATGTACATAAAGGGAGGTCGATATGAATATATCACAGTCGCGGGTACTTACTTCCTTACAAAAAAAAAAAAAAGAAAAGAAGAAAATTGAACCTTACTTAATTTAATGCTGCAAAAATGCAAAATGAGATCAAACACTAAGATATGAATTTTAAATCATTCCGAAAATTAGAATAAAACTTGTCTGTCTATGAATTTCTATAATGTAAATGTAAATCATTTCAAACTAGCTTAATTCTTAACTGAATAGCAACGTAGTTTTTAAAGATGTAGTTTGGTTTACTAATTAGCTTAATCCAATTATACCATATGAAGTTTCAGAAAATGCTAAGAGTTGCGAAATGGAGCATAGTTAAGGTTGAAAGCTGGAGGGAGCGTTTTAATGAAGATTTGTAGTTGTTGAATGGATTGCATAATGATAAAAGATTGTAATCAGTGTACTGATAGTCTGGAATAAACAACCAATATGAGGACGAACTATAAATCTTAGGAACAAGTAAATTACTCATTCCGTCAAATAAAGCGCTAATGAGATCAATTACCTACTACTATAAAATACCTAATTTTATAATTTAGCCTACTTTTTGGATCATTTGTAATTTATCGCTACAGTATCTCTTGTGTTACAATGTCCATTAAATCCTCTGATTCAGAATGGATTTGAAGTTTTTGTGGTTATCGAATATTAAATTTATCTTTGCCAATCTCCATTTTGCCTCCCTTTGAAAGCCTAACTAGAGTGCTACTACTTTTTATGGGAAAAGCCGGGATATGGAAGGAACGATTATCGATACACCAGATGGTATGTCAGTGCATCAAATTACGATACACCGTTTGGTTGGAACATTTGCTTGAATCTGTTGTCTAGAAAGATTTTCAAAGACTGTGAAGATTTTTTTTGGGATATCGATAACTGGACTAAGATTTCCATCAACATTTAAGAATGTCAGGTTAACTTCTGTATCTCATCTCATCTCTGTTCTCTTCTCTAGTTAATATACAAAGCAGTTATAGTTTCATATCCGGAAATAATCACAATAAGTTTTGCTGAATTCTGTTTGTAAAAAAAACGATTTAATCCAAAGAATTTCACATTCCTTGTAATGAATACCGACTTTTTTTTCTTCATAGGTTATAATGAGAGAAAACTGCATTTCTATAATATTTATACTACTAGTCTGACCAATTTATTTGTCAATTGTGTGATGACGGTTATGCGTACCGGATGCGGGAAACAAGTTGTTGATAAATAAGAGATGTGAAAGAAAAGGATTTTCACTACCGTTAAAGGAATAGTAACAGGCAACAAAACTTATCCTGTTTTTGAGAATACCAAAATATCCGAAACGAGGATCTTGAAATAGGATTGATTGTTATCGATCATCTACCTATTGGAGGCTTTTCTCCAATCTCTTCATCTCCCAACAGTGCGTCATATTTAACAAACCCCATATAAATAGTAATCTCTTCCTTAACTAGGCGATCTTGCGAGCTTTCCAAACTACTGTAAATTTAGCAAATGTTCCATACAACCCTTATTATTTCTTCACTACTCGGATTTTCCATCGCTTTTCATCGTACGCTTTCATCATTCTTATTTTTCTAACCACTCGGCTACTAATAAACAGTATGATTTGAATATATTCGAATTAAAACAGTATCTGAGAAATTTTCGATTGTTATAGAGTATCGAAAACTGGACTGTACAGAAAGTGACAAAAGAGCAGGTGACGCCCCAGGAAAAATTGGGTGTCATTTGGTTTTAAAAAATGAAGAATTTGAACCGGGTAGAAATGCTCCGGCAGGTTCCGGTTGCTACACGGTTAGTGTTTTTATTTTCCCCAAGAAATGAAATTCATTTTACACCTTTGCAAGCAATATCTCTGAAATTATTTTGCAACGAACAATGTTCTGAAGTGGAACTAATAATCAATTAATCAATTAACATAGTAATCAATTCAGTAACGGCCTAGAATAAAAGTTTTTCTAGAAAAATTGCCTGAAATCCTTTTGCAAATTCAAATAATCTGTTCCGGTTTTTATATTTTTCACTCACTAGTGAATTTCTTTCTCACTTCGACAAAATTTTCCATTAATTTTATCTAATTGAAGCATAATCAATAATGAACTATTTCCAGAGTATTACTATTTTTGATCACAGATGACTTTTTTTTAAAAGGTTTATTTTTTGAAAAGAAATATTTCAATAGAAATCAAAGATGCTATATTACAGTAGTAATTTACAGTATTAGTTGATGATTAACACACCTTCAGCATATGTTACTGAGAGAATGTCCCATTTGTTACATTTTTTCCTATTAACAAATGGAGATTTCGATGTCATGAGAGAGCTTGTGATGATATGAAGAATTTAGAACTTTGTTTTCTTTAATACAATTTTGAAATGGCTAACAAAATCAGTTCTGAAGAGGAAATGAATGCAATGATCCTTATTATTTCAAAATAGTCCCTCATTTATCCAACGAATTGTATGACCAAAAAGTTGTCTTAGCTCACAGGCAAAATTATTAGATAAAAATGATTTTAACGATAAGCAAAGAAGAAAGCTAATGTCAAAAAATGTTACTTCACCCAAAATGGTTCTGTAAGTTCATCTCCACAACTTCTAAATTTTTTGCATAAATTTGTTTTCTTACAGGAAGGTTCAGGTGAAGATACAAAAGTTTTTTGCGCTGTTGTTTGTCCAAATGCCCATTCGGTGTATCATTCAAAATCGTTGAGCGATAAAAATTGTTTCAAATTCATCACATACGGGGTAAATTTTTGCTTTTTCATTTAAAATATTAAATTCTGCATTCAAAGATGATCGGAAAATTATCTCTCAAGCATTTTCCCCAAACAAAAATCTAAGCTATACATTCTTGATATGGCACATTACTTATGTCTTAAACGTTCTTCCCATCCATTCATTATATGACATTTTACAAAAACATATTTGATTATAGCTAATCCAAAAAGATGGCGATTGGTATTTATGGCGATCGGGAAAATGCCTTAATAGTCCGAAAGCATTCGAAATTGGATGTAAATTCGATGATCCCTTTGAAAACCAATTCCCTGATGACAATGTGATCTTTAAACATTTAGCTGCAAGAGTCCGAGCTTATTAAGCATATTCTGTTAAGAGTATAAAGTATAGAACTCTTGTGCTTTAGGTTTGTTTATTTAAATACTATTTAAATACTAAATAAAGTCAAATTTTGGCCCTTGACCTCATTTGGATATCACAACTTCACAGTTATGTTCCAGTCTACAGGAAAAATTTTTGTCTCGTGGAAATTTGAAGGCGCCAAAGTTATGATTAATTATTTAAGCATGTTGTTAAAATTAGATATACAAACAAAACCCTCATGAAATTCATACAAGATTGTAGAACTTTTCTGAAAATATTTTTAGGAACAGGAATATGCTAATAATTTTTCCATTTACTCCGTTGCCATAATAATTTTTCGTTTTGAGTTTCATTTTCCTGAATCTGGTCAAATTCCAGAATATCTGAGAACTACGCTGTTCCTAAAAAGCTATTTTATTGGAACTTGGCTACGGAGTACTTTGTTAAAGCAGTTGAAACATTGCTCTGCTTCTGAAAAAGATCAACTTTTACTCTAAATTAGAAATGAAGATTATTCAGATCTGAAAAATAAATCATAAACATGATATTTTCAAATCAATCAACCACCTCTATCAGAAATCTCCTCGTTCGCCGTACAGTGAACCCATACCACTAAATTATTAGGTTTATACAATATCAGCGCATTACAAATCAACATGATTAGACCTGAACACATCTCTACTAATCACTGGATAGCAATTACAAGTTTCCGTTAGTTTTGTTGTGCCATGGAAACCTTCAATTCAGGAATGAATGAAATATTCGAGAAGCTTTTCTACTTCTTGATATTGCATTTTTTGGAAATATTTTTCAATGGAAATTAAAAAGTTATAATAGTAACTCACCAACTATTTACCACAAAAGTTTGTGGTTTTTTCGCCATCCGCCCACTCAAATCATTACTCGATTAATGCATACAATTGATGTCACGATTTGGTCGAGAAATGACCCATTGTTGTGCAATACAAAAGATGACACTTCAGAAAGACAATTTTTTAAAATCAATCAGCTCACACTAAGTTATCGATCTGTTACATCTTACCAATTTACCAAACAACCGTTGAATGAATGACGGCAGTTTCCATGTGGTTGTAAAGTAGTGGTTCCCAACCGGTGGTCCACGGATCACTGCTGATCTTCGAGCATTAAAATTTGGATCGCGTAGACTATTAAGAATTATATTTCTTCTATTTTATATTATAATGTTACTCTAAGTTTAATTTATACGCTAAATGTTTAAAGCATGTTTTCAAATTAGCAGAATTTATTATTCTTGAATCTGATGGTCCATGCTGCAAATGAAATAATGAAAGTGGTCCCTGGTCAGGAAAAGGTTGGGGATCATCATTGTAACGGGACAAGGTTCGAGAATTACTTTCAGTTGGTCACTGCAAGTCTGCGCTCTCCATCTGATCACCGTCTCTCATACCCCTTGTAAACATCATTCCCTTAAATGTAACACAAACGGTAATGATCAATTACTAGAAGAGAAAAAAGTTTAAAGCAGTAAATAAATGTTAAAATCATATACAATATTGTCATATCTGTTCAAGAATGTTTGCTAATGTGAAAGAATAAATTTCAATAGCGCATTACAGGAGTGAAAGTAAAAAGGTTTGACTTTAGATAATACCTTGACCGCACGCAGCCAACATCAAAGAAGTGGACGAAGTAAGACGATCAATGCTTCGAAACTGCGCTGAACCTTTTCTACGAAATATCCTAATTAATTAAGTTTTACTCTGAAAAAAATTTGATTTCTTTGTTCTTTTTTTTTGGGGTGCTCATGAACTAAATTAACTGACATAACTCCAGTTGAAACTTTAAAAGCATTGTTGTGGATTTGAATTAACTGTTTGAATTGGATGGCCGAGCTGAGTTGGCCAAATTGAAAATTCACTTTTTACTTAGTAAATTCAACCAAACGCTAGAAAAATATTCTTCTTCACTCATTCAGCTACAATATATTCTCTTCGAATCGTTATTTACCAATTCTTAAAAGTTTTAGATATAAAACAACACGTGATTCCTATAAGGTTTCATTTTTTTAGAAAAATTTGATTTTTGTTCGATCACCAACTGGAAGCCAAACGTTACACATATGAATGATAGATTACGTTTTCTTACGTTTTCTTGATGAAATTCCTCAACTATCAAGTAATAGAAACCGGTTTTTTTTTCTTCTTTGTTTGCAGGGATCAAAACGCAAAGGCAATAAACATTTTGTTAACCAAATGAAAATATAAAATCTAATGATAATTACAAAAGCTATGTCCTTATAATGAGCGATAAACAAAAAACCTGTGGAGGAGCGCAGAATGGTCATTTAAGACAATGAGATTTTATCAGAAGAATAAAAATGACATGCCAACGAAAGGTGTAAAACGTTAACATCTTCACATTTCTTTTTGCGCTTCTGTTAATAGTACCTCATTCATCAGAACGATCGCTGATCGCCAATTACCAACAATCTTTCTCATGTCCTTCATCAACACACTATCTCTTTCGACCTCTTCCATTGCTTGATCTCTAATAAAATTCACGAATTCATGGAAAAGTAGTTTTTCATTTCTGTTTCGTAACAGTCCGCCCTCGATACGCCCTCCTTAAAATTCATGCCAATTCCAGGTGATCGTGTACTGTGTCCAACAATATGATGGAAATTACCGCTGCTTGTTCTTTTTTCATTGTATTTTTCTTTTCCTCAAAAATTCTGAAATTCTGAAAAAAAAATTTACGTCCACTACCTTTTTTTCTCTTAAGTCTGTCTTAACAAGAAGAAAATTAGCTGATCTGTTATTAAGAAATGGACGAAAGTTTTATCTGATATCATTGAAATATGTGCCACTGTTACATATTTAATACATTATTAGATCTATTCACATTAGAGAAACTGCAATAGTACTTACTAATCATATATTTATAGATGTTGTTCAGGTTTTGTTCCTCATCCCTTATTATTATGTTTCATTGTTTCGTAAACGAAACTCTCGTCTTCGCTGAGATATGGCCGGATCCGGTTGATGATGGCCGAGAAAATTATCCGAAACCAACCACCTGGGCAAACAAACATTACGGACAATGGTGTCGCAATCGAACTGTAAGCAGGTAACAATTTTTCTTCTTTTAATTTGTAAGAAAATATGAACACGGGAGTGAACCACTTTTTTTTGATTCTTTATCATAATCTTAGCTAATCGTCCAACAATAACTTTAATTATCTGTCTGGAAAGTTACCTTCTTTTATTATACATAAAGGGTGTAAAACTCTTAGAATATTCAAGTTAATGAATTAATTTTCAAGTTAGTTGAGCTTGCCAGACACGCTAATTTTTGATGAAGTTAAAACTTTTTCAACAAGCATCCTTCCAAAAATCATGCAAATTTCCTCATGTTCGTCAACTCCATGCAGAAAAGGGAATTTCAAACTGAAAGGGAAACATACGTAAGATTTAATTTCAGGTCAATTCAATGCCCGATGGGCTCAGTGTTCCATTATTATTCCTGTTGCGGTGATACGGGCACCGAATGTTGCTTCCGATTACAACCTACCGTTATTGCTTATTCACTTTCTGTAGTATTTCTTGTTGTTGTTTCTTTAGCATTTTACTTTTTGCTAAAATTGAATTTGATTTGTCCAACAGAAAATGACATAGATAATAATGAAGAATAAGGTAATTAAATCAGTCCATTAAATCAGTGCAGTCCTATCTAGTAAATCATCTTATCCAAATTTGAACTAATATTTACTCTTTCTTTGGCACTCGAAATGATTTGGGTTAAAAAATTATTGCTCATAATGTGGTTATATGCATGAATTTGTTGCAAGTCTTCAACAACAATCACGCAAGTAAACCACTTTCAGCAAATTTCCTTCCTATATATCATCCGATTTGGTATAATTTAACAGTTTAGTAGAATTGCACCATCTTTGTGAGATAATTTTACTAACACTTGAAATATCTAAATGCAGTCGTATCCATCATTACAAGATGCTTTCCTTACTTTTGAAATGAGGTTAGTTCTGATACAAAGAGGCTTCGCAAGTAATTAGGAAATTAATATTTGATAATTTTCATTCATATTAATTGTGTCATTGCATCAGCAAAAAGTAGCACTACTTTATGTCACTGGAGAAAAAGCAAGAACAAAATTTGGTAGAAATTAACTTGATGGAAAAATTAATTGCAAGCGGACAAATTAATCAAGCAGCGAGGTCATCATCGGCTCAGTTAATCAATGACATCTAATTTTTTAAATTGTATGAAAGAAAGATTTGTGTATATTCAAATATAAGTCAAAATATTGATTTCATCATTCTGGACATGTGCAATAAAAAAAAAAGGTGAATATCCTACTGATGATTAGATAGCAAATAGAAGAGCAGACGTTGATGATGAAAGAATAGAAAGATGAGAAGGATGATGAAATAAAGAGATTTCAATGACTCTCTGAATCTTTCTTTTCCATAAAATTTTTTCTACAAAAACTATATCGAGGAGTTGACATATCCTGATGAGGCATAACCATTTCAGCCAAATAAAAACGATAAAATGATATGACAACAATTAATTTGTAAGAGTGTCGTCACACATAAAATTAATCTCCCTTAATTTAATATCCATTGAAATGAAATGAATGCGTGAGCACTCTTCAGCGTTCAGACTGCCCAAAACTCAATTTCCATTTTTCAAATCAATTCTCTAAATGTGTCTCTCTCCAACTCTTCCTCTTTTATGCATTCTATATTTCAGGACGTTTTCTATCGCATTTGTTTAAATGGTATCATATTCTCATCCATGCCAATATATCTGTAGCTTGCGCTTCTGTCCGGAAATTTGATCGATCCTGAAATATTATTACTTACACCATGAAATATGCTTTTCTTCATTACCCACAAATTTTTGCTGTATAGGAGAACTCTTACTTCTTCCCTTGCTTGTACTAAAAGAAAATCGTTCAAAAGGATTGCCGTTCACCAATCAGCAATTGTGATATGATCTTTGATGTCATCTGTTTCACGTATCAGCCTCCTTATATCTTCCTACATTGATAATGTTCATAGCAGTTTATTTTTCCAAAATAAAGTACTCATCTCTACAACTTCTATAGTTGTCAAGCACGCTGAAATCTTTGATGCTGTTGAACTTTTATTTCAAAGTAGCTGGGTAAGTTTACCGCAGCAAATTTTACCATAACAAATATGATTCTGCTACTACCCTCTATCATCGTTCTCCCTCAAGACTGGACTTATGATCTTATGGATCAGTTTAATGCTGCCATGAAAAAGAATTACAGTTTTCTGGAATTTGGAAAGTGAAACATTTCGAACAGATCCATTATTACAAATATATTATAGAATAAAGTTGTCCTGATGTGCCAATATTTGATTAAGAATGAAGCGGAATTGGTACCGAAAAGTTGTATCCCTCAATTTCCACTGGATCCAACCTCATTCTTAACGATCTGCACAGGAGTCAGAAATTTTTCAATCTTGTTTCACTAACATCCACAACTATTCCTGCAATTTTAAACTATAAAATTTCAAAGTCAAAGCTCATTCAAAATTGCCAAAGGTAGATAAATAAACTCCAAATAATACCAAAGTCAGTCGTTAATTAAGCGGGAATGATGTTAGAAGGAATGAGTGCATTTCGAGATTATTTCGAACATTGAGAAATTAATATTTCAAAATTTTTAAGAGCAGCTGCTGAGAACAAAAATTTTAAAAAAATGAATCAAATAATTCCGGCAATGTGTTCTACAAAGATTAATGATAGTTTACTTATCCTACACACAGTTGAACTACAATAAACCCAAGAGGCAAAGAGGAAGTTGAGATCAAATTGATACAAAAAAGGTGTTTCAATCTATCAAGGTCATACTCCTTATAAATATTCCCACTGGTTCAATGGGCTAATACTTTTTTGTTTTCTGCTAATACATTGTTGATGCATTCATTAATTGTCGTTTATGTGTTACTATTACTTATTATTATTTTTACATGTTACTATCGTATCAGTTCAAATTATCGCTACACTTCACTAATACGCATCATTTTTTTATTCTCTGCATGTTTCGAATGAAAAAGTGTTTCATGTATATTAGTTAAAAAAGGACTTCATCAGGGAGGTCATTTCATCTAACCCACAAATATAACCACTTGCTACGTAATTATACCGTCACAGCGATCACATATACTGTGATAATGATGTCTGTTTAACTTTGTTAAAACACATGACTCATCCTGTTCATCTGCCGTTCATTTATCAGTAAAAAAACATACACGCGTCCTTATCTGACTTAGAGTCCCCCTAAGATGCACTTTTATTTGCACATTTTATCCAGCTTATAATCCTTCCCTTTGCTTCCCTTTTCAGCTTCAAAATTAGTCAAGCCTTTCCTAGTCCAACACTTTGGCAGATCCGTCAACTGTTTCATAGGGGCTGCGTGAAAATGAAACGAAATGGAGTTTTTTGTTAGTTTACAGTTGATTGGGATAAATTATTGTGATTCCATGCTTAATAATGGATCTGCCATACTGTGTCGATGTCCATGGACAAATTAGCGGACTGAATTGGTCATCCGAAGTAATACGGTTGGGCTAGTCTACCTCAGAGAGGCATTTTGATGAACGCTTTCTAGAAGGGGATAATAGCTGATTAATTGGTTAACTGTCTTTATTCAGCAACTAGCAAAACAGTGCAACTGTACGCTTACACATTTGTTTATTATAATGTCGTTAATGTTTTGGTAAAATGTGAAGATTAGTGCATTTAGGGCATTGTACTGTCTATTTTTTTAAATGGATCTGAATCATGGGTCATCTACTGCTACAGCCTGCGACTGCTCGAATGTTACCATCAACGCCGCTTCCGTACAATCCTAAACATCCACTTGACTGATTACGCATTTAATGTTGGACAGGCAGCGGTCAGCAATATTGAATCTATGCTACTAAGGCGTATCTCCGTTCGGCTGGACACGTTTCCAGGATGGAGGATCACCACTGTGCTCTGTGGTGAGCTCTCCACCGGCCACCGCAAAAGATAAACCTCAAACAGGAGGTACAAGGATTCTCTGAAACAATACATCAGCCTTAGCCATGTTGACTAATAGTGGTCCACTCTGACCTAGAATTGGAAGACATGGAGACACACACCCATAACGCTGCTGTTTCCTTTAAGAACGCACGTAGAATCAGTCTCAAGTAGAAAAGACAATGCAGAACTGTACCTGGTCAGTAAACGCAGAACTGCGCCTTGCCAGTACCGCCGAAGGAAATTCCGCTATGCATTTTACAACCGGCCTTGCTTTCTCAGCCATCAGCGTGTTTGCAACAATCGTAAATAAAGCCCTTTTCAAATCTTCGTTCGCGAAACCAATAAAAATAATAGTGCTGTAGTTATTTTGTAGATTGAGTGGATGATAATATTACCAGGTTTTAGGTGGAGTGTTTATTGATCGATTGTTAGCTCTTCGAAAAAAATTGCAGAAATAACAAACCATAATCCAGGGTAGTTAAAAGTTGTATTTCAAAACTGTTGTGTCACCTCATTCAGTAGCATCCGGACTATCGTTATGAAGTCAGTGGCATTTTACTCAGTTATCTGGAGAAGAGAGCAAAAATTTCAGCTCCTTCCAAAAATACACACTGCATATTCCATAAATATATTCATACAATATTTCTGCGGTTTTATAGATTTTAACTAGAAATAATCTCATGCCAAATAGATGTCGTACGGAACTCGCTACCGTCATACAAATCAGATGTGGCAGTTATTGTTTCTTAGCGTCTTATTCATTTCTGGCATTTTGCCTGAAGTTATGGATATTAGTATAAACTTAGGAGCGACGTGGTGATTTCGAGTAGAAATATAATATTCTGGTGTCAACAAATTAAAATTAAACTTCGAAAATAGTGCAAAAAGTGGTTATCGCTTAGCGTTTTAGTCCAAATCTCATTCTGACAAAAAACCAAAAAGAATGTCATTGAATATTTCTTTTTCTTGTATGGATTTCATAAGAAATTGATCTTAAAGCAAACTCTGAGGAAAATGCTCTGTTGATGATCTTTCCAATTTTATTTCTCATTCAAATTTTACCGGTAAGAAATTGGGAAAAGAAGATATGAATTTTTCTAACGAATTTCAAATTTTATCGGTAAGAATGAACTGATTGGAAAAAGAAGTATCCTAAATATCCCAACTCTTTAGGAAAATCTGGAGGGTCCTGTTTTTGAATCTTCGAAGACTAGCTGCGATAGTGTGAGCAAAGTTTCTGCACGAGTAAATCCGGAATCACCTTTTTTTCAAATTTTTTGTAAATTAAAATTTAGTATATTATTGTTACTTTTGATTAGGACGATTTATTCTAGCATGTTCGATTAGAATGTGAAGATTAGGAAATAATTAAGGCTGGTTAGTAGTACTCGCTGTTTATCATTCTACTTCAAGGTCACGAATATGTTTGCATGTGGTTAGATCGGCGTGCATCTTCATCATTCCGGCTCCTTTTGACCGCATACGTTAATATGTTCCACTGAAATAGTCCTATCAAAATGATACATCATAATTGCGCGGGATATGTCCTTGGCCGAGAGAATGCATTCAAGCAAACAATATATTTATATCACTAAAAGAGGCCGTAATTGATGTAATGTATTGTTAAGGAGATAAGTAGTATTATTTCATAGCTGCT